ATTGAATGTCTCCCTTGTTCCTGTATTACAACACAGGGAGAACAGACGCTCCTAATCTGCCTTCTCTAGACCAACCACTATTTTATATACTTTTATCAAGTCCCCTCTTATTTGTTGCCTTTCTCGGATAAAAATTCTTATTGCGTTTTTCTGAACTTCTTTAATTCTGCAATATCCTATTTGATATGAGGTGACCAATATTGCACATAATATTCCAGATGAGGGCATACCATTGATTTATATAAGGGCATTATAAAAATGTCCATATTATTCTTCACCCTGTTCCTTATACATCCTAACATCATGTTTTCATTATCAATATTGAATGTAATCTGCTATCATGTTGTTCCTTCATCTAGGTTGGCCAGGTCCTTCTGGACTCCCTCATTGACTCCTTTGGGCTTGACTAACCTAAATAGACTTTGTGTCACATGGAAATTTTGCTGCTTCACTGATCCCCCTCCCAAATTGTTAATAAAAGTACAAATCAACACTGTATATAATACAAAGCCTTGAGACCCCCTCTATTAACCTTTGGTTATGATGAACTTTGGAGATTGATTCCTACTCTTTGTTTCCTGTCTCTTAGCTACCACTAACTGTGAGAGTGATGGTCCTTGGGAGGGAGGGATAACCCAGGGTTGTGAGTTCAATCCTTGAGGGGGCCACCTAGGGATCTGGAGCAAAAATCAGTACTTGGTCCTGCTAGTGAAGGCAGGGGGCTGGACTCAATGACCTTTCAGGGTCCCTTCCAGTTCTATGAGATAGGTATATCTCCATAAATCTGTGGGATTAGGTTGTGGCTTAATTAGTCTAAGGCTTTAGCCTAGTCATGTGACCTAGTTTAAGGTACATCCACACTACATCTTTTTATGGGGCAACAGACAGCTGTACCCGAACTCTCTTAATTTGTACTGTAGATGCCCATGCAATCTACCCCCAATGTCATGAGCCAGCAGTTCTGATTAAATTATTTATAATAACAAAAGTCATAACTAACACCAGGTTTGTGTAAGACAGGAGTAAATGATGGTCTAACATGAGGCAGAGCTCAGGCAGCCAGGGATGATGAAGAGATATGTATAGAAGTGAGGGGGGAGGGGTTATACTCTTGCAGCTGAGAACAAGGCTCAGCATCCAACATGTGCTTGGAAGGCTTCCCGGTAGGGCTCAATTGCTCTCGTACCCCCCTTGTAGCCCCACTAAAGTGGCACTAAGTGCAAATGAGCTATGTGATCTCAAGTGTGCAATTGGTTTGATTATAAATCCCTTTCACTCAAGCAAAACTCCTCCTTACTGGAAGTAACTGGTTGATTGCGTAAGGAATGTTGAATATGCCACAGTATACTTGAAAGCTGGGGGGAAAGTTCCAGTTTAGCATTTTCTAACAAGGAGCTGATGAATATTAATAAATTAAGCCTCACAGCCCCTAAGTAAAGTGTAACTCTTTATTAACAGGGAAGTAGTATGTATCATCTCTGTTCTGCAAACTGCACTATGGAGACATGATGACTTACTAAAGGTCACACAGGAAGTGTATGGCAGAGCCTAGAATAAAATTTTGGGGTGAAATACTTGGAAGTCAATGAGAATTTTGCCACTGACTTTTATGGGGCAGGATTTCATCCAGTTGTCCTAACCGCCATTCTTGTGGCTTTAACCAAAATACCATCCTTCCCTTCTTTTTCTCCCCTCTTCCCCAAAAATGTATTGTGATCATGAATAGTATAATCATGGGAAAACAGACAAAACAATTCAAATATTTTTTTCTAAAATGTACACAATCACATGTAGGAGTCAACATCTGTAACTCATACTATGCCTAGCAGATTAATGTTAGCAATAATACTGAACACTTAATACATTTAATTTATTAAGTGATTGACATTTAAAAAGTTGAATGCAATAAATCTAGAGATAATAAGCAAAGAGATTTTAATAATGATTTGAGCTTTCACCACTCTGAATGACTTCGCTTTACAATAAGTAATATATACAGCGTCAAAATAAGACATATTAATATTCTTTTTGATTTTACATGTATTTTTCTCCAGTGAAATGTTTTGATTTACCTTTACCTGCATGCTAATAGTGCATGAAACACGTTTGGCTGGACTATGTCGTAAAGGAAGCTGTGGTCTTCAGTCCTCAACTGCAAAAGTGCACTTCTGAGATGCTTACCACAAAATAACATTATGATTGTACATGCAAATCATATTGTAAATTAAGATTTTCATGGTTAAATAAAAACTGTCAATATGAAAGTTTTTTCAGCTTATTAATATTAGAGCTGTTACATAAAACACTAACTCCAGAATTGTCTCATTAAAGTCCACAGTGTGCACATTATCGTGGGAAACTAACTACAAAAAAGCTGCATAAATATTTCATCGTTTTCAAATATATAATATGCATTTGTTAAGGTTTCTAGAGGGGAAGTTAAGAATCCCTGGGAAGTGAAATAGGGAATTTCTGCAGAAATTGTCAAGGTAGAAGGCAGTGTTAATAGGAGTCCCTGGATTCCTGACCCCAAGGACCTTAAAACTAGTACTGAAATGTATGTTCTGACCACCAACCGTTCTCTCTATTCTCTCTGACTACTTAGAAAGTGAAGCGTTTGAGTGAATTGTGACTTACTCCAAACTTAACTCACAAAGGGATTGTGGTAACGACTGAAAGCTGATAGAAGTCTGTATTCAAGCTTTCGATTTGATCTTCCTTTGCCTTTACACTGAAATATCTTTGGAGCTTGTTTATAAAAGTGTTTGAAGTTTTTTTAATGTATATTTTTAGAACTGCGTTACGCAAAATATTCAAGGAAGGTACAATTAGGCAGTTTACCATCCTTTCTCCCCGTCCCAGATAAGTTTCCTCAAATAAATATAGATTGCTGAATGTTTTAGTTTAAAATAGTGACGTTATTTAAGAAGAGAATTTCATGGGCAAAGCGAAAACACACGTCTCTCTAGCATCTTGCGCCGGCTTGGGAGCCTCCAGAAGTGTTTGGTTTAGTCAGGCTCCAGATCCGTGGAGCTGGATCGGGTTTTAGAAAAGAGCCGCACCCCGCCCGCAATGGCGGGGCTCACGGGGCTCGGAGCGGAGAACGCTTTGAGCATGACGCTTTGAGGATGAGTTCAGCTGTTTACAGGTCACACCGCTTTTTCCCGGCTGCCATAGCCGGGAGGCACGGGGGCATTTCAGCCTGGCTGCAGCAGGAGCGTGCGGAGGACAGCCCGTCATCATCCGACCCTTTGCTCTTGTCTTGGCAGGCCATGAAGATTCATTGTCGACTGAAGTGCCCGTGAGACTTGTGCAAGGGAACCCTTGCCAGGCAGAGGAGATCGCAGCTCGGTCTTTCGCATCTGATGGGGGCCTGAGATGAGTCAGTCCCATGGGGTCAGCTGCTAGCCCCTGTCGGGAAGCGCCGTGAAGACGAAAGGCAGCTGGAGTGTAGAACTCGAGTCAGCTCAGGAAATCTAGACAGACCAATGCCTGGGAGTGGCGGCACCAGCCTGTGCTACAAGGATCGCACGCGCTTCTCCTGTCCAGAAGAGAGGTGAGCTCCTCTCTCTCGCAGACGGGTGGCTGCAGAAACACAGGGTCGGACTGTCCGCTGACTCTCTCCTTCGGGCTCACATTTGGCCCCCGTGCCTCTCACTAGCTTGCGTGGGAGGCGGCATAAGAACCATCAGTCCCGCAGAGGTGAGAAAACTTGGTTTCGGAGCCTGACATGTACCCACGTTAGAAGCACGGTCGCTACAGGGCAGGGCCGTTTGTTGTGCATGTAGAAAAAAACAAACCCTAGTGGATGAACTAGACGCGTTGCGACTCGGGGTTTGGCCAGGGGCGGGAGCTGGGCTTGGTTGCGGTGTCGGGTCGGCGCTCTCCCCAGTGCCTGGAGACGCAGCCGGGCGCTGCGCGGCGGCTAGCCTTGCCCTGGCTGGAGGGGATTTCAGAGGCATGCGGCGCTGGTGCGCAGGCAGGTGAGTGGAGATGGCTCCGGCGGACCGGGAGCCCAGCGGGGTCAGGCTAGTCCGCCGGGTAGGTTGTGTGCAGCCAGCGCCCGGGGAGGGGAGGGGAGGGGCCGCGTCCCGTCCAGCTGCACCCGCCAGGGCGAACGGCTGGGAGCTCGCCACGGCGCTCGGCAGTTCGGCTTGGCGGGGCCGCTCCATTTGTTCTATGGCAGATTCGGGGAGCGGAGGATCCCTTCCCACGCCCCCTCTCCCGGCTCCGGTGTCTCGCCGCCCCGGGTGCGCAGCAGGTTGTCTGACACCCACTCGGCTTTCATGGCCCGGCTTCGCGCAGTCTGGGTTTTCCCGGGTCAAAGGCACGTCCGCGGAGCTCGCCGTTCCCCGGCGGCTTCGTTCAGCCTTCGCACCGCGACACA